TGGAGCGAGGACGCGGCGCTGGCCGAGGTGCGCGCCGGCCCGGGGAGCCTCCTCTCCTCTCCCCTCCCCTTCCCTTTCTTCCCTCCCCTCCCCTGCTTCCCCTCGGCGCTGGCTAACATGTCTCCCCGCTGTCCTCGGCGAGCAGGAGCTCTTGGAGGATTTTCGGCGGAAGAGGGAAGCCGGAGAGCTCTTCACGCAGCGCTGCCAGAAACTTCAAGATAACCTCTTAAAGAAGGTGACTCCACAAGGAAGCTGCTGGCAGCTCGCTGCGGCTTCCACAGCGGTTTGCTGGTGCTCTTTATGCATCACCGACGCTGTGGCTTAGCATTTTATGTACTCAACGACTTCTGATTTTAAGTTCACGTGATTCTGTATTAAATGACGTATGTTTTAAATTAGGTGAAGCTGTCGCTGCCTAAGGATGGATTTGTCCATTTTGGAGACACTGTGATGCTTCTGAGCCCGGACAACAACAAATCCTGGATGGAGAATTACCCTGGAGTGTGCGGCAAGCTAGTGTTGGCCGTTAACCTGGACGAAGTTGCCATGTTTACGGCCGAATCACTGCGAGCACCCTGTGGAGTTAGTGCAGTCAAAAGCATGGACCCAGTTGGTCGAAATACTTTTTGTATCTTAAGGTTTGGTACCTTATTTGGAGTTGTTCTTAAGTATTATGTTAGATTTCAATACCTTATTTTGAGAAATATGAAGTGGAGTTTACTAGTTTGCAAAAGAATTTGAGTGATGTTAATCTACTGAAGACAGACTCCGAGTTATGCATTGAGCCTGATTCTCCTCTGCATATTTCTGTGCATAACTCCAAGGAAGCTGCAAAGACACCAGTACAAAACTGGTGTGTAAGCAGAATCCAGTTCAATGTATCGTTTAGTAAGCTCTGCAGCTGTTTTTAACACTCTCATATTTCAGCTATAGAGCTCTACCTATTGCACATATTTGACAACAGTAATAGTGCTTAAGAGTACAAGCTGACCCTGATTCAGCAAAACGCTTTGGGTTAGACCTATTAAAGTATTTTGTTGCCACAAGCACATTTTAGGCCTTGTAGAACTGCAATCAAAATGCCATGAAATCCCTCATTAACGGACTACACAGTTCCTCAGCTGCGCAGGTTTTGACCCTGAATATACCCAGAACAGGCTGGCCCATAATTTGGTGATTCTTTAACGTAAAACGTAGAAATGATCCTAGAAGAAGGGATATACCAGCATACACATGTAATGAACCAAATTACTAAATATGCATTACATGTATTAATAGCAACATACATTAAGTTACAGGGAATCGCTGTTCTGCTTTCAGTGTGTGATTTTTGAGATGCATATATTAAGTACGTTTTCCAGGGGGACTCTGTGCTGAATTCTGATTGATTTATTTCAATGGATGTTATTTTTCCAGTAGGTTAATGAATGCATCTTAAAAAGTAATCAATGCAGTCTGAATTTCTATTCTGTTAAATATTTTAACCAGTAAATTATCTATGAAACAACTTTTCAATTAACACATTTTATCTATTTTAAAAAACAAACTTAATACAAAGTGGTATCACAAGACCTACTTATAGGCCTAAACACAAAAAAGATCTATAAAGTGATATATTTGAATTTCTTTTTTTCTTTTTTTATTCTAACAGTGTTGATGGAGGTGCGGTGGGTGAACCCATTCGATTTGGGCAAAAATTTGGTCTTGGGGCAACAGGGGGGTTTTCTGATCAAACGGTAAGTCAGTGAAGTTGTAAATGTAAATGGCAACGTATACTGAGGGGGTGCATTTAGTTACCATTTATCAAACTATTTGTACCGTGGTTCAACATCTTAACTGTACAGAACAGATTCAGGATCATACTTAGATCGACTTTATTCTGGGGTAATGCTGTGATACCTTCACTGAAAAAGCTTTTTTTTTTTTTTTTTTGGACAGTAATAACATTAATGCTATAAACTTGTAACAAAGAAGAATTTCTTAGTGCTGCTAGGCCTTCTGCTTTTAACTCATGAGCCCCTAATGGAAAGGAGCTGAATGAAAGTGATCTTAGCTCAGAAACCTGCTAAGAAAGATTTCAAACAGGCTTTGATGGTCTCTGCCCTGGACTTTGAGAACAGATGTAATCTATTTAAAAACAGATCCTAATATTGATCTTAATGTAGTTTATCCTTCTCATTGAAGAAACAGTATGGAGAAGTAAAGAACTAAAGAAGTGGGGGGAAAGATAGGGAAGAAAGAGTAACTGAGGGAGACAAAAATGAGGAAGAGAAGTGATAATAAATGAAGTGGCTGAAGGCCAGGCACATGGACCAATTTAACTTCCCTTTTTATACCATTTTTTAATCATATAAATTCCAATTGGGAATTCCCTTATGGAAAACAATTTGAAAACAATTTGAAAACTATTTAATGTATTTTGCTCTTTAGTCTGAAATACTGAATTTAACTTTTTATAATTTTGGCCACCCTTCCCTCCTGCTACATATTCCTTACTTACATACTCTTATTTTTATTTATTTATATATAATTAACTGTATTACAAATGCTTGTCAGTTATGTACTATATATCTAACATATATAAGCTAACTTATTCTTGGTAGCATAATAAGGCACAAGCAACTTAAAACGGTAAATACTGATTTTTGTGCATGGTTCCTTTATTTAGTTGTCTCTATTGAAGATAAACATACGTCCAAAACATAGTCCTGTCTTATGATTAAATAGCTTAAAGCAGTTGGGATTTTTCTCCTGACCATTCATGACAAGCAAAACCTATTTAGAAAGTTTATGCAACTTTCCTAGGATCAGGTATGCAGGCCAAGAACACTATCAGCCGGAATGACTGGATAAGAGAGATTGGAGGAGAAAAAAGGAGGGGGGAGGGGAGAAAAAGGAAATTAAAAATATCTCATGAAACACTAAAAAGTCCATCAATACAGGAAGAGATTTTACAACTTTTTCTTTAAATGAATTCAAAATGACAAGATGTCATTTCTTGTGAAGAAAAAGCTATATTCTGTGTATGAAGTAATATATTATTCTGTCATTCAGAGGTAGCAGATTTCTATTAAATGTTAACATTGTTTCTCTTCATAAGTTAGAAGTGAGTAAGATATTATACGTGTGTACACACTCAGAATAAATCACCACAAGTATGATAAAGCTTTCCCTCTCATCAACCACTTTGATGAGAGAGAATCTTTGGAATGTAAATTCAATTATAAATTAGTATTCATCGGTTTAGTTTGAGAAAAGCTACTTCGTGAGTTTATCAACAATATCAAATCTAAGTTAGAGTTTTTGAATGTATAACTTGATTTTGACAGATTGATTTTTCATAAGCAAATAGATAAGATTTTGTGTTGAAATTTTTTTTAGTTATCTATCTTGTCTTATACTTACATTCTCCTTAATGTATGTTTCTGTTTGCAGTTATATCTAGCAAGTGACCATAAATCATTTCTAAGATTTGCTAAAAAATCTTACCTTCAGCAAGTATTTTTGACAGATGAACTTTCCTATTTGACTCGCTGGCATGCAGCATTCCTGGATCCACAGCTGCGTCTTGAATATGAAGGATTTCCAGTTCCTGTAAGAAACTAAAACTAGAAAATGTTATGAGGATTTAATTAAAACCACAGATTGACTTCTTAAAAGAAATTTGAGTCCATTTTATTCACATCTTTCCTTATGTAAAATCTGAATTATAATTTAAGGAAGGAGGAGAGGGAAGGAACAATATGTTTAAATAGGGAATCTGGATATACAGCTGTTGGGTTCTAATGCTCATTTTGACAGCGATGCTGAATTTTTCTGACCAGAATTTTCAAAGATGGAGGTTTAGTTTGGACGTCGCACGTTTTGAGGATACAGCACCGGGAATCTGAATTTCAGGATATCCGAGCTCTCAGAATTCCATTTCCACTGATAGGAACCGTGATTGCTTAAGACTTCTTTACATTAAACTTAAAACGCTCAAAAAATCAAGGCATTGGAATAAGTGGCTGCTTTTCCAAATGTGTTTTTTTAACCTTTTGTAAATACATTAAACAGATGTAGTATTTTCCTGTTCCACATGGCTGCTACGCTCTCTGCAGTGCTATGTGCCTAGCAAAATATCACAAATATAACTCTTCCTCTACCACCTTGAATTGTGACTCATATAAATGAACTAGCTCTCTAATATACACATTCAAAATTAAGTAACTAATCTTACTACAATTACAGTGGTAGTAAACGGGATTACGAAAGATTAATTCTGTTTAAAAAATCGTAAATTAGTAAAATATAAAATTCTAGACTGTGTCACAAAACCATCCAGATCTCTCATCTGGCAAATATATCCAGCGTAAGAGGAATGACCTTGATGGCACAGGCCACTGGAAAGACTCTCCACTGCTTGCTTGATTTTATTTATTTATTTATTTTCTCTCTCCTTCTAGTGCCCAGCACAAGGGAGTGGAGTGGAATGTATTGGACAGGAGAACGTATCTGATCTGAGGACTGAGCATTTGGCTAGTCTGAGCTGTTAAGACAGTTTTGTTGAGAACCGACAGGGTGTAAAATACCACACTATCAAATGCACAGCAGTCCCAGAGCAATACAGAGGAGTACAGACTTACATTAAGGCTGCTAGCAGATTATATGTAGTAAACAAAAGCATTTAATTTGAGTAAGAATGGTTAACATGACTTCACATGGCTTTTCTTGTTCTTTTTTCTTTCCCCAGGCAAACTCTAACATTATTATTACTCATTGCCATACTAATCAGAGTTTGGCTGTTCCAAGGAACTTTTGCATAAGGTAAGAATAATTTTTATAACGGACAGGGATGTGCATAATTATTGCCAACTCAATACATCAAGAACTACTGTAAAAAACAAGATGGTTGCTTTAGGCACACACTGAGGAAATGGAAAAGAATGCAGAATGCACGTTTTACTTTCACCTGTTTTATTACTGGACTGTAGTGTGTGACATCTTGATCATGCAGACAATCAGCCCAGTTTCATTCATATTTTTTTTGTATAACTCATGTCACATCATGTTTCCAGCATTCCCTGTTTTCTTGGTGGTTCTCTTTTTTAATATCCTGAGCAATTACAGTTATTTTTTGAAGACAAAATAGGATGCTAAGAAGCATAATGAGTAAGGGAACTAAATAAAAACTTAGTGCATAAAAACATATGCAGCTTTTGTCCACATGAATCTCACAATAAACTAAAGTTAATCCAACAATTCAAGTTAACATGCATGAATTGAATTAGTATTGACTAAGCATTGTTATGGAGTATCCCAACTGCTCCGCATTAAATTCCGAGCAAAATTCCACCGAGAATTTGTATCAGGTAGTTGAAGCTGAAGCAAGGCCTGATAGGCTGAGGTTGAAATGGTCAAGTAGGCACAATTTTCCTCAGTCAGAGAGAATAGTGACTGACCTAAAAGGATGAATATTGAGTCAGTGTATCAGTGCCTTAAACCAACAGGGCTTCTTCAGCCCTGGATCTAGAAAGATAGCATTTCCCCTTTTATTTCAAATCTCTGAATTATTAATAAGAAATAAAGTGGGATGTCTCTGTGAGTGTTTCTGTTAAGGGTCTGATATTAGAAAGCGCGTGGTGATGTTTCTTAATAATGCAGACTTGCTGAATTGTTGTGCATATTTATTCTTCCCTTTCCCCCTCCCTTTTCCTTTTTTGACTTTACAGGTCTTATTTTGGAATGGAATATGAAGTAGTTTGTCACACCTATCTGAACTCCCATAAAGCTGAAGAAGATAAGAATTATTGGGTAATAGTTACAGGAAATCCCAGTGATGAGGAAAGTACTATGATTGATAGACCCGACCCTCACTCAGAGGGGATCAGAAAGAAGAGTGACTTTCATGAAAAGACACAGAATATAAAAATCCCCGATTAGAACCTACAAAGGTTGATGAGATTGATTCCTGTTTTTTTCTGTTTAGATTTTAATTCTACAGATGTTTATTTTAAAAACAGAAACGGAAGTCTATCCTTAGTAATATAACATAATCTCACTAACTCATTAAGGTTGTACAGTGGGCAATAATTGTCTAATCAAATGTGATGAACCATGCACAACCTCAAAAATCCATGAATCAAGAAGGGCTCATTTTCCCTTTTCCACGTTCACTGATGCCAAAAGATGTCAACATCCAGTAAATCTAATACGTTTGCAATAAAATACTGGCCTTCAGAGGTATTTAGCCAATTCTTCCAAAACCAAACCTGCATCTCCTTTTTTAAAAAGAATGAGTGTACACTTAAAAAGTAGAATCATGCCAGCTATCATGGGATACTTTGACATTTAAAGGTGATCTGAGAGAACTTTGTGCTAAACACAGCATGGAGCAAGCTCAGCAACCAATGTTACCGATTAAAAAAAATCAAAAGTGAGGTCTCAGTATCTCAAAATTGGCTTCAAATTCATGAGAAATATAATAAAGGTGTAAATTGATTTTCTTTACCTTTGTCCATGTGTGTCTAAACTTTTAAGTGCTAAGTACTCTGAATGCTTGACCACAGTGATGCAGCCTGAGAACTTCTGACAACCTTTTCCAAAGTTGCAAAGCTTGCATTACCACGCTCCGTTTGCCTCCCGCCCTCAGAATTTGTTCATTCATAATAGTTTCAACCAAGTTTGACAGCAAGGTAGAATTCCCAAAGAAAACGAAGTTTTCTATAAGTTTCCTGAAAATACATGCCAAGGTAGAAGAGGCATGAGAGACCCTGTAAGTTTGTCCAATAAGAAAAATATTGTAGCCCATGTTCATACCTAATTAGAGACTAGAGATTCCACTTGAAAGAAAATTATTATAAATGGCCCAAGCATGGCAAAAGTTTCAGCTGGAACTTGCATTTTTCTTAAATACCAAAATCAATCAAGCATGAGACACAAAGACAGGGAAAACAGATATCATTACTTTATAGCGCTACCTGTCTTTATATGGAAGTTGAAACTGCACCACAGAGAATCTTCTTAAAGTACAGCACACCATTATATCCCTTTAGTAAAATTACACATATATCTGTTCCATTTTATAACTGTATCAGCACCATAAAGGAACAGCAGGCTGTTTGTGCACATCAATTTAAGTAAGGGAATTTCGGAGTAAAATACTACGTAAATCTCTGTTCTTAAAAAGGATTCCAAAGATCTTAAATGTTCATGAAGGTCAAACAAAACTTTTTAAGTTTTACTGAAACAAAAACACTAAACTTTCACAAAGGAAGGGACTGAACCAAACGTGATGACTTCCAACTCTGTCCCAGGTAGACTGTCAGTTTCAAACCCACTGGCAAGACTTTAAAACCATTTGCCTTTACTCAATATAAATAAATTCAGCAGACTGCAGAATAGCCTAACTAGCACTTGGCATATAGAGTCTCAGAGCAGGAGACAGATTACAGTTCTATGAGCTACAGATCTGCTGTGGAGGAATCACAGAAGACATTTTTTGAGTCACATTCTCAGTGTGTGAGCCTTGATAGGTCTTTTATTGGTGGGGTTATGCTATTTTGAATCTGGCCAATTTAACAGCCTTTTTCCATTGGGTTAATTGTAAGAAACAAGAAGAGGCCTTAAACCAAAACCAGTGCTGAAACAAAGCTTCATGCGGATTCATGCAGAAATGAGAACTGTGTAGGCAGGGAGCTTGGCTGGCTAAAGTTGTGGATAGGAGTGTTTGTGTGACTGCATGTGCATGGGAGAGAAGCAAAACAAGTTTTGTACAGTCTTAAAGCAAAACTAGAGATGAGCAGATACAGAAATGAGTGCAGAAATAGACAGGTGCTGGATAAACGTGGCTGGCTTGGAGCCTCTTGGGTGTTTTTTCTGATCATTCTACAGTTGGGGGAAATAAGCAGGATTGTTGGAAAAATGCTGGGTTATTTTGCTGTTGGAACATAAACAGGACTGTATAAACAACTCCTAATTCCATTATCTATTTTCCTTCTTAAGTAATACAGTTTTAAGGCTACAGATTTATGCATAGCTTCTTATGGCACATAATACATGTCTATAATTCAGTTGATTTATTATGTTACATTTATTATGTTATATTTATTATGTTTATTATTATTATTTATTATACAGACATTGATCTGTTACCCTGTTTTTCTTTTAAAATGTTTTTTAGCAGTTCTTAATGTTGTCCACAAGATGGCACCAGTTTTTCTAAACAGAGCAATTATTGCTACATATGTAAAACAGCCTGAAATGTTTAAATCCAAATTAATCTCTGATACAATGCCACAAAAGCTAGCCATATTAAATCAGGCTTGAATTCTGGACTAGGAAGTGTGATTAACGCTTTATCCTGTTTCTAGAAAGCAAAGCTAAGTTAGTTAAGCAACAAAAGTGGATAGAAAAATGTGTAACATTGCATACAATCAATTTCTTAAACAAAACTAACTGGAATATTTATTAATTTGTAACCAAAACTTATTTAGAGGAAATTATAACCCTTTTCCTTCATTTTCTATGTAAAGAAACAAAACCTGCTGTATCTGGCAAATGATGCATGCATTTATAGGGACACTGTTATTACCTACTCCAGCTTGTAGACATTAAAATTCTGCATGTTTTCACAACATAGATTTACATAATTCTTAGATTTCGTACACAATAAAATAGACAAACTCAGGCTGCATGTGTGCACTGCATTGTTCCTAATTTGATCACTGGATATTTATGGTTTAGAAAAAAAAAAAAAGGTATTGAATATTAGCTCAGAATCTGAACGATCCTGATACTGCCACTTAGTGGCACAACGTGAGTTAATGGACAGGGTAATGGAGAAATGAACCATGCTCCAAACCTGACTATTGTGTAACTGGGCAGGCACTGTATTTTGCTTGTCCCAGTTTTGCAGTCTGTGAAATACGGACAGCAATGCTTGCCTCTTTTGCAAAGCACTTTGAGATATATCAATGAAAAGCAAGATAACATATTAAGAAAGCTTTTAATGCATTGTCCAAATTAGACTCAATAAGAACATGTCCACAAAGTACATTGTGGTCAGATAAAACGCACTTTGCTCCCATTTCAGGCAGCTCACAAGCTGTTAGCATGAACTTGAGCCTGAGAGCTATTAGTCCCTGCTGAGGGACAATGTGAAATTAGTTCAGATTCAGTGCTATGCTAATATAGCTTTTTATAAGTCTAAGGGACAGAGAGAACTCATTTGCAACTGCAAATATTACACGGTGTAGACATAAGCCATACAGTATTGAAGTCAAGAAGAGGTACAGAGAATTCAACGAATCAGCAAAGAAAGGCATCATCCTCTTAGTTAACTAACACAGAGGTAATGCCAGAAAATGAAAATCCAGCTTTACACCTGCCTTTTCACTTTCTCTCTCTTGCATGCTCCTCCAACTCATATTTCACATCCCCTCTCTTCTCTGCCACGTCTTCTAGTCAAAAGTTACTAATTTGCAATGGTTATAAAGTGCTCTTCTGGCACTTAGCACAAGTCCCTGGTCCCTCACTCTAATCATACCAGTATCTTCAGAGGCTGCTTTTCCTTTCAGTGATTGGCATGAGGTATTGTTTTGGCTCAGCGAGCTGACCAGAGGAGGAGACCATAAGCAGAATTAGTAACTGGGTAAGACATCTGAAAAAAAAACATAGAGAACATTACGATAGGAAATTCCACACAGCAGTGGAAGAAAATATTTAAGCACTGGAAAATTTGGCAGAGTTGGCAGGTAAGAGGGTGATTTTGATAACATCTGTGCCCATTCACCTTAAGTTAGTATTGCACATCTGTTGTCATTTGGGGGAAGGGGTTTCTTTTAAGACCATAGGTGTTGCTTTAGAAAGCTTTGGACTTTTTAATGCATGAAAATTAAACTAAGGGGGACATGGAATAAAAATATGCAAGATATGAAATGCAAAATACATCAAATACAGGTGGAAATTAGGAAATCTCTATGTCATTTTGTCAGCTACACCTCTAGCTTTGTTCCATTTTAGGCTCTGTCCCAGCTCTTGCCTCCACTCTCTGTCTGACCTGCCCTCCTTAGTTTCCTTGTCCACAGGCAGTGTACGGAGGGCAAGCCACAGCCTACTAGCTCCCTTCTTCATGCTGGCTGGCTTCATCCTGGAAGCAATAAAAGGGAATCTAATCTTCAGTACTGCATTCCTTTAGACAAGAGGAGTGAAAAGAACTGTCACCTTGCTGGATGTGTACTATTTCTGCAGGAATAGGAGCAGCCATAATAATGCCAACTACATGATTTGCATGGTAGGTGTAGCCTTGCTTCTAGTGAGAGAAGCACCTTGTCATCGGGACAAAGGGAAAGACAGACTCCTATTTTATTTGAGAGTCAACTGTGAGTATGGAGGATATGTAATGAAGCAATTGGCACTTGTCTGTCTTATTTTTTTCCACTGGTAGGCTCACACAAGGCAACATCTTTTATGCCAGAGAACAGAATCATCGGCACGGCACTAGAAAGCGCTGTCAAAACAGAGTCTCTCCAGAACTTTCTGTATCTTTTGGCAAAGGAGGACTCTAAGTACAGCAGAATAGGTACAAACATTAAAAAATGCCTGATGACATTAATACCCACATTTGCTGATGAAATTAATTCATGTACAAGCATCTCTGTTCTCTCTCCATATATTTATATATGAGAAGCTCAGAGAGCTTATTTCCAACATCTGTTAAATGGTGCTTCATACAGTAAGTCAAAACAAAACTAAACAGACCATCTAGTCACAGGCCAGCTAGTATATATGTTTCTATAATGCTGGTCTTGTTTTAATTATAGACTCCTTGGGGCAGGGACCATATCTTCATTTTTTTTCCAAATACAAACAATTACAGCAGAGATATTCAGCAAGTAATAGCCTAAAGCTGTTACTGAAAGTAGTCACACGATGACAGGAAATCCAAGCAGACCTGCTGCAAATAACCAGAGATACAGGCAAATGAAATCCACGCATAAAACAGCACCAACTAGTAAACTCAGTGTGGGGTATGAAGATGCAGCTGCCCAAGCAATTCTGACGTTAATAGGAGCTGCTAGGAGAAGAGCCCACAAACCACAGTGCTGTCCCTGTGGGTCTGACAAACCCACAGAGGGGAGAAGAATTATACATGGCAGTATTTATTTTTATATATATATTTAGTTTTTAAAAATATGGTATAACATTTAAAAATACCTAACCAACTTTTAGCATAAGTCCAATTTCCAAAAGTGACAGCAGTCCTGAGAAACTGGCTTCTTCTGCTGCTTGTTCATGTTAAAACTGTTAGGAGTGAGGTGGTACACCTCTTCGAAGATCTGGGTCTAACAAAATCAGTTTTGAAAACGACATTTAGCTGTTTCTGAAAATGTAACCTCTAATGTTTATAAAAACCTTGACTCTCTAAGCAAAATGAAAGCAAGGAACTAGTGAATAAGCATAGTACTGAATTAAGGCTTGGGTTATTTTTCCTTTATAGAAAATATTTAACAAAACTCTTAAAACTCCTAAAACACTATTCAGCATGGATTATTGTTATACGGCCTCTAAAAGATTAAATACAGCAATTTGTGAAATCCACATCAGACAGCAGTCTCTGTCTTTCCTTCCTGGTTTCCTGCCACTACTCCTGTTTGGGCTTTCTGCCTCTTCCATATCCTGAAGAAACAACTGAGCAGTTGTTTGGGGAAAAGTTTAAGGTTCATCAGCTTTTCCGGTCTTTTTGCTGACAATTTTGGCAGCATCAGTTTAGCCAGAACACCCAAGATGTATTATAGCCTTGCAGGGAGTTTAAATGACCATGAAAAGAGGCATATTTTGGCATATATATATTTTTATATACATATATATATACACACACACACACACACACACACGAGGCACTTTAACGCTGACACAGCAATAACGTGGAATAATACATCAGTTCAGTGCATGCAGGAGAATAATCTTTCATCACCTGAAAAATATTAATTAATTTATTCTGAAACCTTTTAAGAAGGGAATCTCAACTTTAGACTGTGGCGAAGCAGACGAGGGTGGATAGGAGCACAAACAACTGCATTTTCTTCACCTAAATTCTATCACTGCATGAACTAATCAGTTCTTCCAGCGTAATCTTGAGTGCTTGTGGGGAAGCTCATACTGAAGTCCAATAATAAAAGGCTTCAGGGCATCACATAGTAACCTAGAATAACAGTTTAGCTACAGTGACTGCTTCACTGCACCCCCTTTCTTCTTCTCCATCACCCTTCCCCAGACACATTTTCTGCTTCAGTACAATTCTGTCCCCAAACCCAGCTGACCTCAAGTCCTACTCATAGCCTCACAGAGAAGGTAAGAAGTTTCCCAGAGATGGGCCAACTTATGAGCTGTGCTCTTTCTTCTTCCTGAGCCAGTCAATGGGATAATTCTCATTGGAACATGCTGAGTAGGAAGACTTATTCCTTATTTACTTCTTCCTTATTACAAGAAAAGCTACTTTAATCACAGTGGCATAAATTTTGAGATAAAGTCCTGATTTATGTTACTTTTTTCTTTTTCTTTTCTGAATTTGCTGCAGAAAGAGCAGAGCTCTTCAAAACCTTCTCACTGAAACAGCAGGTTTGGATCAAACCAGAAATTCTGGCAAAAGTCACCATACTGTACAGGAATATTCATGGCTAACAAAATATTTTTGACCTGAAATCAAACAAGTGTTATTAATTTTGGCAGGATTTTCTTTTTTCAGTTCCTATGGTACTAGCAAAAGAGTTTTTAGGAGTCCCAAACCGGTACAGTTGAATCCACCAGCATTCAGACTCTATCACAGAATGAGCAGCTTGAAAGGTAAATACAGAAGTGCCTCCTGCTTTGTTGCCTAGAGAGGGGAAGCCCACCAGGAAAAAGGGGAAGATCTGACTATGAAAATGCAAACCTCATAGACTTACATCAGTTGAACATGGCCTAGCAAGGTCCTAAAGAGAGGTGTTGCTGTAATGTCTTTTGTAAGCACCGAGGCAAGCAGCAGGGGATGAGGAAAGGTCATCCAGTAGTTAGGTGGTCTAAAAGCCTAAAGTTACATGGCATAACAAATTCCTGATCATCCCCAC